CTCCCCAGCCGCCCCCCCCCCCGCCGTCGCTGCCCAAGTGCCTGCCACAGCTAGCCGCAGCCACCAGCCCCCGCTCTCCTGCCACCGCTAGTCCCCACCAGTAACAGCAGCCTCCAGCCGCCCACCACTTCATGCTATCCGTCCATCTCCGTAGCAAGCCGCCTGCTGCCAGCCGCTCACCCGCCGCCCGCCCACAAATAATGCTCCGTGCTGGATGGAGCAAAGAAAACGTCATATATGCTATGGACATTATAGCTTAATACTAGAAGACACGTGGTCTAATCATTTCATAAAAAAATAAAAAATTATATCCAATCAAATATGTTTTATATATATTTTTAAATATTTAAATCATAGCAGTATTAAATATGTTTTCTTAACAATGAGCAAAATAAAAATAAAAAATAAAAACTGATCTCAAACAGACTTTAAGATTCTGAGTATATGTATGTACATACATTTATATATATATATAGATGTATGTATGTACATAGATGTATGTATGTATCTGTTGAGAAAATTAGGGCGAAGAAAACAGTAACGACACAAATCCAGAAGAACACAGAGATTTAACGAGGTTCGGCAAAGATACAAAAATGTCAACGTCCTCGACAGCAAAGCGGCTGCTTTTCACTAATCCAGAAAAGAGTACAGAATACAGAATATAGGATAAGACCTAGGGTTACATACATGCATATTTCTAACCCTAGAAAGAGCAGAAAAAGAAACATTAAGTATAATATGTAATTACCAAATTACTCATGTACGACACTCCCAACCCACATAAGGAAACTCTCCTAATTTGGACAGAATCTTCCGCTCTGCTCCGCTCCACTCAAGCATGTCCCTTATATGGTATATGAGTCATACCTAACAAATCTCCACCTTGGCAAATATCCAGCCCCTTAGGAGAAATACAACATGAAGTTTCTTACATATCATAAGTGGGTTGGGTCACCATGTTTCTCTAGCAACTGCAAACATTCAACAAGTCTAAGCAATGCAAGAACACGCTGATAGTAACTGGCTTGGTCAACATATCAGCCGCATTTTCATCAGTATGAACCTTCTGCAACAGTACTCACCAGAAGCAATCAATACTCTGATCTTGTGATATCTGACATCAATGTGTTTGGTTCTCGCATGGTACATCTAGTTCTTAGCCAGATAAATAGCACTATGGCTATCACAATGCAACTGAACTCCACATTGCTCAACGCATAGTTCATTTACTAGCTCAGCAAGTCATAAGGCTTCTTTTGCAGCTTCAGCTACTGTCATATACTCTGCTTCAGTTGTAGATAATGTCACAATAGACTGAATTGTTGATTTCCAACATATAGGTCCTCCACCAAGAGTAAACACATACCCAGTTGTAGACTTTCTGCCATCCAAATCACCTGCGTAGTCAGAATCGTACCCTACAACTGAAGAATCATTTTGCTGACTGCCAAAAATGATTTCATGTCCTACAGTACCTTTCAGATACTTGAAAATCCACCTGACTGTTTCTCAATATTGCCTTCCAAGTTTAGCTATGTATTTGCAGACTTAATTAACAGCATGAGACAAATCAGGACGAGTACATACCATTGCATACATCAAACAGCCAACTGCACTGACATATGAAACCTTTGTCATGTCTTTGATTTCTGTGTCTGTCTTAGGACACTGTCCTGAAGAAAGCTTAAAATGATTTGACAAGAGTGCTTACAGGCTTTGTTTTGCTCATCTCAAACCTATCCAGCACTTTCTCAACATAGCCTCGTTGAGATAGACATAATCGTCTTGAGCTTCTATCTCGATGATTTTCATTCCAAGAACCTTATTCGTAGTACCCAAGTCTATGTCAAATTCCTGACTCAATAAAGCTTTCAAACCACGGATATCATTTATATTTTTTGCAGCAATCAGTATATCGTCAACATACATTAACAAAAAAATAATAGAACGATCATCAAGCCTCTTCACATAAACACAACAATCATATTCACATCGCTTGTAGCCAATTTGTATCATGTAAGAGTCAAATCGATTGTACCATTGTCTTGGAGACTGTTTCAACCCATACAGCGATTTCTTTAACCTGCAAACCAGATGCTCCTTTTCATGTTGAGTGAACCCTTCTGGCTGCTCTATGTAAATCTGTTCACCCAGATCACCATGCAAAAAAGCTGTTTTAACATACATCTGCTCCAAATACAAATCCCAAATGGCTACTAATGCAAGCATTGCCCTGACTGAAGTATGTCTGACCATAGGAGAAAAGATTTCATCATAATCTATCCCCTTCTACTATGAAAATCCATTTGCTACCAGTCAAGCCTTGAATTTTTCCCATTCTTTTTCTGATACTGTTGGTTTCCTTTTATACACCCACTTGCACTCAATAGTCTTCTTTCCCTCAGAAAGCTGAACTAACTTCCATGTGCGATTTTTCTGTAAAGACTTCATCTCCTCAATCATTGCACCCAGTCATTTCTCTTTCTTCTGACTAGTGATAGCTCCTTCAAAAGTGGTTGGATCATCGCTGCTGATAAGAAGTGCACAAGAGAACAAGTCTTTATAACTCAATCTGCTATGAGATCTTATATTTTTGTGTCTCTATCTGTCTCTGGCTATATTATAATTTTGCGGATCGTCTGCAATGGAATCATCAGGTATTCGATTTGAACCTTCAACTCTCTCAGTTGCCACCGAATGTTGTTCTAAATCCATCTGCACCGCATCTGAACTGGAACTTTTCCCAACACCTTGTCTTGATTTTGCTGCAACATTGACTGTTCATAAAAAACTGCATCTCTGTTGATCACCATCTTTATAATTGGATCCTAAAACTTGTATCATTTCACACCTTTCTTGTAGCCCAGAAAGATGTACTTGGATTTTGCATCAAGTTTTGATCTTTCATCTCCAGGTACATGTACATAAGCAAGACAACCAAAAATCCGTAAATAATCGAAATTAACTGGATTACCTGTTCATACCTCTTCTGCGACCTTGCCACCCTACGATGCCCGAGGTGATCTATTGATGAGATAACATGTCATATTCACATATTCTGCCCAGAAACTCTTAGAAAGCTCTGCATTCAGTCTCAAGCATCTTATCCTTTCAGTTAAGAACTTGTTTATCCTTTCTGCCACACAATTTTGTTGTGGTGTCTTGCGCACTCAAAAATGTCTCAGAATCTCATGCTCCTCACAGAACTTCTGAAACTGTGAATCTGTGTACTACATGTTATTATCGGATTTCAAATACTTGATCTTTCTGTCAGTTTGGTTCTCCACCTCAGCTTTCCACGGCTTGAATTTAGAGAATACTTCAAATTTTTGTTTCAAAAAATAAACCCAAATTTTCCTGAAGAAAACATTAATAAAGGTGACAAAATACTGAGATCCTTTCAATGATAATTCCCTGGTAGGGTCTCATACATCATAATACACATAATCAAAAATCCCTTCAGTTTTATGTTTTCCAGTCATAAAACTAATTCTAGTCTGTTTTTCAAGAACACAGAACTTACAAAGATCGAGCTTGCAGCTTTTAACTCCATGCCACAGATTTCTTTCATGCAATTTTGTCATCCCACGTTCACTAAGATGACCCAGACGCATATGTCATAGCTTTGTGCTATCATCATCTGACTCCACAGAATGAACTTCATCTACAACTGTACTCCCTAACAGTTTGTAGATTTTACCTGCAGTTAACTTTCTTTTCATCACGGTCAGTGCACCCTTAACAATTCTGATGGTTTTCCTATCCTCATCTGTCTTAGAAATAAAACTATTTCTATATAAAATGCCCGAGGAAATCAAATTCTTCTTCATTTCTAAAATATGTCTGGTATCACATAATGTTCTAACTGTGTCATCATACATCTTAATTCTGACATCTTCAATACCAACAATATTGCAGCATACATCATCACCTAGATAAACTGAGCCAGAATTAATTGACTTGTACGAAGTGAACCACTCTCTGTTAAGTATTATGTGATAAGAGCATCCTGAATCAAGAATTCATGTATCCGTGACCTGAGTTGATGAAAATGATAGCATTCTTCATCACTGCAATCTGAATTGTCACTCTGCACTACATTTACAGACTTAGATGATTCATCACATTTCTCCTCAATCTGCTTCTTGAGCTTTGGACAATCTCTCTTCATATGACCTGACTCATTGCAATTGTAGCAATAAATTGTCTTTTTACCTTTTGACTTGGATCTGGAATTTCACCTTCTAGAACACTCATCTTTCTTCCTTCCACGATCCTGCTTACCCTTAACATATAAATTGTCGTCATGAGAGCTTTTCTCTGCATTATGCTTCCGTTGGTTGTGAATCAACAATGCTGCAGTGATTTCATCAACTTTGATGGTTTTTTCGTCATATGTAAGAGTAGTCATCAGGCGTTCATAGGAAGAATGCAGTGAACACAACAAAATCATTGCTCGGCTTTCATCCTCAATAGTCACATCAAGCTGTGATAAATCTGTGATTATTTGATTAAAATCATTAACATGTTGTGCTAGATCAGAACCTTCTTGAATTTTCAGCCCATACAGCTTTTGCTTCCGATACAATTTATTCGTTAGAGATTTAGTCATAAACTGAGTTTTCAATTTCTTTCATACCTCCCCTGGAGATTTCATATTCATCACGTGATACATAACCTCATCTGTCAGACATAGGCGTATAGTAGTTGCAGCTCGTTGTTACAATTCTTCTAAATCTTCATCCTCCATGGCATCTGGTTTCCTTGCCCGCAAAGCATTCAGAATTTCCTGTTGCGCTAATAGATCTTTTACCCTTGTTTGCCACAACCCAAAATTTATGGTTCCATCAAGCGTCGTCACCTCGAACTTTGCACCAGAACTTTGCACCCAAAAATTTCTTCAAGATCTTTCGCATGTTTTCTGCTATCGCGTCACCGAAATAGCATCGTGTGCACCACGAAATATCTCAGCCAAGAAATACAATCGAAGGAATATTTTGCCGCCTCCAGTAAAGGAAACCAATCTTCCACTTCAGGAAAACAATATCCTGCCTCCAGGAACCAACAAGGAAACAAATCGAAAAACCAATCTCTCGCCTCCAGGAAACATAATCAACTCAAATCAAAAAATTTCTTCCAAATTTTCTTCTTCGCAGCCTTCGGCAAAGGAAATTCAGAAGCTTCTGAAATCACCTCCCAGCAAGGAAATCAATCTGACCTTTCCGCAATTCCTCCTCCCGCAATCAGAAATCAATCGGACCCTTCCAATTTCTTCCTTATCGGAACCAGCAGAAAAAATTATTTCCCCAACGGAAGGAAATCTAAGAGAATATTCCTCCAATAGAAATCCAAGATTCTCCTTCTGATTCCCTTCCAATTTTGTTTCTTCTCCGCCGCTTTAGGCCGTGCTGGTCACCAAGTCGCGCAATTGAGCTCGCCTGTCACAGGAAAGCTCGTCGGACTCTTGGACGCAACGCGAACTCCTGCTGA